ATGCACACACGAATAGTTATATCTTTAGTTCCCTAACAACCTGGGCAGCAAGACCTTGGGGTCAGCGGTGGTCTGCTCGCCCCTCAGGGGTAGCTAGATGCATTTATCCTTTTTTTTTTTTTTTTTTTTTTTTTTTTTTTTTCCCCTGCTGCTGGGAATGGAACTTAGGGCTCCACAAAAGTTAAGCAAGTGTTCCATTACCGAGCTACACCTCCCGCCTTTATCTTTCAAAGGCTGGACGTCACTCTCGCGGCCTGCTGTCCTCACCCACCCCGGAGATCTCAGTAAGTTCTGAGTGCTCACTTGATGCCCAGAACAGCTCTAGGTGGGGGATTCGGACCTCATCTTTCCTTTCAGGCGTGGACAGGACCTGCAGAGGCAGTATTCTGGCGGGATCTGGAGACCTCCCACCATGTCAGGCTACAGGGTAGCTTTAGGGGACAGAAAGGTCCCTCTGGTGCCTGATACTGGGGGTGGGAACCAGGAGGAGTCACAGACAGGGAGCATGCTTCCTTGGACTTGTGGTATTTAAGGCAGCAAAAAGGCAGGGGTCACTGCCTGGAACGGTCTGCTCTTCTCTTCAGCCACAGAGACAAAGCTTCTCTTCCGGTGGATGCTGGCACCCCGAGGCAAACTCTAAGGGCGGAGCCTCACCTGCGACTAGGCCCGCTCCCCGGGTCTCCGCCCACCGCGCCAGGGTCTGGGGTTCCAGAGCCACGTGGTGGTCCGATCCTGGCGTGAGCACCAAGTGTATGGTCAGCCGGCACCCACCTCCCGGTCGCTGGCGGCGGTGGGAACTCCAGGGTCTGTCCACCACAATTTACACAGCTCGGGCCCCCCCGCGCCGCAGCCTTGGTACATGCTGCGGCCCGGGCGGCGGATCCAGCCTGGAGAGAAGGGCCGGTGCGGGGCGGGTCCTAGGGCTGCGAACCTCTGATCCCTGCCGGACACAGAGGACTGTACCCACGCCTAGAAAAGAGCACAGCATGGGGAGGCGCTGCTGCTGGCGGCGGCGCGGGCTGGTGGTCGCGAGTCTGGGTGCTGCGTTCCTGCTCTTGTGCACCGCGCCCCGCGCCCTGCGCCTGGGTGAGTGCACGCCCCGGCTCCCCGCCCCCGACCTCCTGCAGCTTGACCTCCCGAGGGTCTTGGGTGGCGCTGCTTCTCCTCCCAGCTAGGGAGTGGGAGTGGTAGTAGAGCGGCTGGCGGGTCCAGAAAAGCTGTAGACAAGCTCCACATCCCAGCAAGGTTCTTGGGGCCCCTCTTCCCCTCTGGGAAAAGTGACCATTCCGGTAGGTGGGCAGCTGTGCTTGGAGGCACAGGGCAGTTGTAGGTGGCGGAGGGCATTGGACTTCGCACTTTACTCTCAGCCCTCAGAAACCCCTCCAAGTAAGGCATATGAGCAGGTCAGGCGTTTTGAGAGGGGCAGCTAAATATTTTTGTTCCCATTGTCCGTCTGTGCCATTCCCTGCACCCTAGAGCACGCTCTACTCCATTCTGGGAAGGGCTGAGCTGAACCCACTCCAGGCCTGATTTGGGGAAACTGAGACAGCCATGATTCCGTGGGGCTGAGTGCTTGCTCCCAGCAAAGCTTCCGCTGACTCTCGCCCCCAGTCTACTTGGGTCGTCTCAAACCCCCTAATCAACACATTTCTAAAGGAAGAAAGTGAGGCAAGAGAGGGCTGAGGGACCTGTGTGGCTGGCTAAGCTCCAGCTCTGTGATCTGCCTGGAGCTGGAGGTGCCAGTGAGTGCCTTGATCTGGGTGGCTGATTCCTTCCTTCCTTCCTTCCTTCCTTCCTTCCTTCCTTCCTTCCTTCCTTCCTTCCTTCCTCCCTCCCTCCCTCCCTCCCTTCCTTCCTCCCTTCCTTCCTTGTGATCTCTGCTCACTCCCCCACCTCCAGTGAGCTCAATGAGAATCTGGTTTCTCCTAAATAGCTCCTACATTCAAGCATGGGCAAGGACAGTGGCTTGGTGGGATTAGGGTGACTCCAGCTGGGGAGTAGTAGTAGTTCTGAGCCTTTTAGTGTGCTGGCTTCCTCCTATTGGAACTGCACTAAGCTCCCTTCAACCAAAAATGTGCGCTTTCCTCTGTCTCCTCCTCTGCCTCCCCTGACTGCCAACTAGGGTAGAGTGCAGAGTTTGGTTGGGGACCAGGTGTGCAGTGCTTGGGGAGGCTGTCTCAGTGATCAGAAGATCTTGACTCATTCCGCCCGCCATGTGACCATGGCCCTGCTATGCCCACACCTGGATGCCTCCTCAAGCCTGCAGGAAGGAGGTACAATTAGTATTTCCATCCCCTGCCCCCACGGCCCTGTCTGTCATCTGGCTGAGAGTCTGAGGGTGCTCATCAGAAGAAAGTGTGCTCTAGAGCAGTCTGGGTGTGGTACCTGTGTCTGTGGCTGTTGCAGCTTCTGTCTACTCAGTCATTCAGTGGACAGATGTTTACCTTGTCCTGGGACAGGGCAGGGCACAGTGGCTTCAGCTTCTCCGTGTTCAGCCTCTAGCTGATGTGAAAGAAAGAGGACATCCAGACATCTGGGCCCTGGAGAGCTGTCTGCAGAGGGGAATGCATCTTTGTGTGACACTGTGCATTGTCATTGTGTGTTTAAGCCTCAACAAGACACCCTGCTCTTGCCAGCTTCTTTGCCCAGGTTTGAGAGATGCAGCCAAGGCATTGGTTACCTGGGGTTTGCTCCTTTCGACCTCCCTCCTCTTCTGCAAAGCCCAGGAGATGGCCCAATGAGGGAGGGGAGAGCAGGTGTTGGAGAAGGTGAGCACTCCCCTTCCACAGGCTGTACCCTCCTACCACACCTGCTGTCCTGTTTGTCTGCTCTTAGCCGTGACCTTCTCACACAGCAAGTTGCCTTCACTCTGGCTGGCTTGAGAGGTCCCTGCTGACCCCTGCTTCTACTTCCCCTACACTGGGACAACCCTTTTCTCCCATAGGCAGCCCTTTCCACCTTCCAGTGTCTCTGTTTCTATTAGATTCTCTCAGACCTGCAGCCTGTCTCCAGCCTTCCACACTTGGCAGGCAACCTGGGCAAGCAAGAGCTAATCAGGCTGACTCATCCAATCACCTCCTGCCTCTTCTCTCTCCTGAACACTGAGCTGAAGCTGTTGACCTCAGAGAAGAGAGTGGGAGCTAATTGTGGGCCTGCATGTGAGCAGTTCACTGGGAGGGGAGATGGCTTCAGGGAAAGGCCTGTCTTGCTGCAGGAGGACCTCACTGCCCATGGTCTCAGTGGGCCTTGATGTCCCTGTAGCCATGTCCAAATTAGAACAGGGTGGTGGGATGTGAAGGAATTTCAATCTCTTATCTCAGGCAAGTGGCCTATCCTTTTTCCTTCTTCTTCAGAGCAGATGTTACTGTCTGTTGGGCAGAGTCCTGGGGAGAGGGGTACTGCCTAAGACCCTGCTGTCCCCACCCTTACTTTTGGGGCCCCTGTGGCAGCTCCACTGTCATTACTAGGATCACCTCCTGCCCTGCTGCTTCCTTGGTTTCTGTGTGGGTGTCTTGGTGACTGTGCTTCCTATGGCTGGGTGAGCCACTGACTGTACATGAGCTCAGTGGCCTCTGGTGCCAAGTGTCTCTCTAGGTCAGTGATGGCAAACCTTCAGTGATAAGAAACCACCCGCTGTGGCATGCATACCATAGGTTTGCCACCACTGCTGTAGGCACAGGGAAATGGCGAGGAGCAAAACTCACAAATATTCATCCTCATGGAGCTTATGCTTTTAAAATTACGATGCCCAATCTCTTCTCTGCAACCTTTATCCTGAAGACACATCCACCAAGGCCCTGCCTGATGGTGACACATTAAATCCCTCCTCAGCTGGCCCACTGAGCCTAAACCCCACCCTTCCTGTCTTACTCTTCTCTCCTTTCTGATAGTCATGAGAATGTCACAAGTGTTCCTCTCAAAAGCAGGCTCCTCTCAGGTGACTTCCAGATGGCTCTAAAGTTGGTCTCAGAGGAAATGTGGAAAGGGGTGGGGAAGTGGGAGAAATGTCCTGTTCCCAGGAGAGGCCCTGTCCCCCCCGCTTTTTTTTTTTTTTTTTTGCGGAACTGGGGATTGAACTATTCAGATCCTTGTGTTTGCCGGTTAAGTGCTTATCCTATTGAGCCATCTCCCCTGTCCCTTTTCTGAGAGCCCAACATTTCCTGTCTGGGAGCAGCATGAGGTAACACAGCCCTTCTCCCATGTGCTTCCTGAGGTGTTGAGAGGAGCCTCAGGCAGCTTTCTTTCTTTCTTTCTTTCTTTCTTTCTTTCTTTCTTTCTTTCTTTCTTTCTTTCTTTCTTTCTTTCTT